CAATGGCTCAGGTACTCCTCATTTTCTTCAACAAATAAGACAACAGAGTTAGCTTCCCTGGGCACATGAGGATGCTGATTGATGCCATCTGTAGGGTCCTTATAGGTGATTCAGGTGAAATACCTGCAGCAACAGAAATATGCAGTGACATAGGTCTGGCAACATGTCTCTGTATGTTAGAAAGTGCAACATAATTACATAGTGTTCCAACATAAAAACACACAAACACAACACCAAAAACACTTATGGGAACTTTACATAATATAGGTGATTAAATGTATGAGATACAATTCAGAAAAATGAGGATTTACAAATTTTCTTGTACTATTGTTAAGTCCGAACTAAGAAACTACATTTCCTACACATCTTTCCTATGCCTTTCTCCAGTGTGAACTCTCTGATGCCAACAAAGGGAATATCTCTGGGTAAAACACTTTCCACATTCACTGCATTTATAAGGCTTTTCTCCTGTATGAAGTCTCTGATGACAACGAAGGGTATTGCTCTGGGCAAAAGATTTCCCACATTCACTGCATTTATACGGCTTTTCTCCTGTATGAACTCTCTGATGCCAACGAAGGGAATATCTCTGGGTAAAAAACTTTCCACATTCACCGCATTTATAAGGCTTTTCTCCTGTATGAACTCTCTGATGCCAACGAAGGGCAGTGCTCCGGGCAAAAGATTTCCCACATTCACTGCATTTATACGGCTTTTCTCCTGTATGAATTCTCTGATGACAACGAAGGGAACTGCTCCGGGTAAAAAAGTTTCCACATTCACTGCATTTATAAGGCTTTTCTCCAGTGTGAACGTTCTGATGACGACGAAGGTGGCTGTTAGTGGTAAAATTCTTCCCACATTCACTACATTGATAAGGCTTTTCTCCAGTGTGAACGCTCTGATGACGACGAAGGTGGCTGTTACTGGTAAAATTCTTCCCACATTCACTACATTGATAAGGCTTTTCTCCTGTGTGAACTCTCTGATGATAATGAAGGCGAGAGTTACTTCTAAAAGATTTCCCACATTCAGAGCACACAAAACGTCGACTTACAACATAGACAACCTTTTCCTGAATAAACATGTGGGTGCAACTAATGTCTTTCTTACATTCTTTTCTGGCGTGACAATTTTCTCTCCTTTGAAACATCATCCCACGTGTTGAAATAGCATTTGGACTGTTTTTGGTCTGAGTAGCCTTTAGGTGGAGATGTCCTGATTCGGTCCAGACACCCTCCTCACAGGTGAAAGGATTCTGGGACACATTGAAATTGCAGCTGTTTGCAAGTGAGATCCTGTCCACCCCTCTAATGAGAGTCTTCTCTCTCACATGCTGCTGATGAAATTTTACACTGAAGTAAAACCGTTTTTCACACGCTCCACACCTCAATTGTATCTGTCCGTGTTGTGTTCCCTGTAGCACCAGCACGTGAAAAATGTTTCCCAAGACGAGCCCACAACTCTCACAGGGGTGGCTCTTCTGGGAAGACAATGCTACCTTGGGATTCCTTGCCTGTGACACTCTAACAGAAACCTTCTGTTTTGTTGGTGCCTCCACATTCTTTGCTCCACAGCAGCAACCTGAACAAAAGAAACGTAGGTGAAGTGCATGTTGACCTGATAAAAACAGAATAGCTTCACCATGGATGTTTATCTGTCCTGACTAGGCATGATTCTATAGAAAGATTTTCAAGATGAGTGAGTTACACAGGGAGAAAATTGCTGTTATAAATCACGTGGCTCCAAAAGTCAGTCAATGATGGAAATCTCACCAGAGAGGGACAGAAGCAAAGGAGTAGATACAAAGAAGAGAGGAAGGTTCTACTCCTTGTTCTTGCACAAACGGTTTCCTTTAGGACCTTACATTCTGACCATGTGTGACTGTGCGGAATAATTTCAAGCTGCTCAAAGACATAAAAATTAATTGTATTGGATCACAGGATATACAAGTTCAGTAAAATAAAATGTGTGCTCTCCAAGGTGCTGCAGGTATGGATCAATATTGGCTTGCAGTAAAGAGAGACCTGTGAAAGTGGGAGAGGTGCAAAGTCCAGAGAGGTTAAGGTTATCCGTAAGCTAGGAATCTAAGTAGAAATTATCACAATTAGAACTGAATAGTTGGCAAAGTATCAACAATAAGCACAAACAAGCATAATTTCGTGAGGAATGGGCAACTGTAACAAAACACTGGCTTTCTAGCTATGAATGTAACAAAGGCCAGCCGAGAATTCCTCCCCAATGACCCTTCTCAAAGGCAAGACCGCCAGGGGATCCACTGTGTCATTCATAAAGTCATGTTTCTTCTGTGATGCACAAATGATTCTTCCCCTTCAATCCCATTTGAGGCACTGCTTGGGATAAATGATGCGAAGAACATGGAGGGTCGCCGAAACCGGTTTGGCTCAGTGGATAGAGTGTCGGCCTGCGGACTGAAGGGTCCCGGGTTCGATTCCGGTCAAGGGCATGTACCTGGGTTGCGGGCACATCCCCAGTAGGAGATGTGCAGGAGGCAGCTGATCGATGTTTCTCTCTCATCGATGTTACTAGCTCTCTATCTCTCTCCCTTCCTCTCTGTAATAAATCAATAAAATATAAAAAAAAAATTAAAAAAAAAAAAAAGAACATGGAGGGTCAATACTGTGGTAGAACAACAAAGCACAAATGAGATCACAGTCAAAAGACCTATGTGAGTGACATCAGCAAGATGGAGGGATCAGAGATATGTGCTTCTTCCCTTTTCCCAGTGTAGGTAGACAGCTTTCCATGAACATAAACCCCATAGGAAATGGGAATGAGTACGATCGCCCTAACCGGTTTGGCTCAGTGGATAGAGCGTCAGCCTGCCAAGATTACTTTACCCAGCAAAGCTATCATTCAGAATTGAAGGTCAGATAAGGAGCTCCACAGATAAGAAAAAGCTAAAGGAGTTCATCACCACCAAACCAGTATTATATGAAATGCTGAAAGGTATGCTTTAAGAAGAGGAAGAAGAAAAAGGTAAAGATACAAATTATGAACAACAAATACACATCTACCAACAAGTAAATCTAAAAATCAAGTGAATAAATAATCTGATGAACAGAATGAACTGGTGATTATAATAGAATATGGGACATAGAAAGGGAATGGACTGACTATTCTTGGGGGGGAAAATGGTGTGGGGGATGCGGGAAGAGACTGGACAAAAATCGTGCACCTATGGATGAGGACAGAAGGTGGGGAGTGAGGGTGGAGGGTGGGGTGGGAACTGGGAGGAGGGAAGTTATGGGGGGGAAAAAGAGGAACAAATGTAATAATCTGAACAATAAAGATTTAAAAAAAAAAGAAAAAAAATAATTGCAAATCCTATGAAGAAATTGCTTGGAGAGTTTGTGGATTCAGTTCTGATCAGAACAATAAAGCGAATATTGAGATACTGAGATATAGAAAAAAATTCACACAAATAGTTGGAGTTCCCTGGAAATAATAAAGTTATGTTAAGACTATACTGTAGGCTAAGAACAATGCAATGAGTTGTCTGAAAACCAAACTCGATATAACTTCATTAAAAATACTTTATTGCTAACCACTAGTAACAAGTATCTGCGCTTGCTAGAAACATGGTGGCACTAGACTTGCTGAATGCAGGGTTGCTAAAAATGTGGACTTTGTAGAAAAGCAGGTTGGGGCAGCAATATTTGCATCTGAAAAGCACAATTAAGTACATGCAAAAATATGTGTTCCTGGATGTGATAAGCAATTAATATATAATATATACAAGGTAGTCAAGAGAATATTTAACCAAAAAATAGAGTTATTAAGCAGGAAAAGGATATAAAAAAAATTCCTCAAAAAATAGGTACAAATGACCAAAAAGAACATAAAAAATGCTTTCCTCACTGATCAAGGTAGAATCACTCATTCTTCCAAACACACTACCAAGCACAAATCCTTCCCTGTGAATTTAGTGCAGCGGGGAGTATTGGGACTTCAGGAATAGAAGGGAGCGGCAGAAACAGACCAACCCTCCCCAGGACAGCAACTACCCAGGAAACTGGAAAAACAAGCAGTACCACAGTCTACATGGGAGGACAGAGCACACCCTGGGGGATGGGGCTTGGGAAATGGCAGAGCCAAGTCCAGGTCAATGGTGAGAGCGAGGGTCTTACCCAAAGAGGATATAAGTTCAAAGTTCTCCAGCATCACATTCAGGTACAGCTGTCTCTGACCCTCATCAAGGAGGCTCCATTCCTCCCTGGAGAAGTACAGGGCAATGTCCTCAAAGGTCACGCCAACCTGTCACAATGGAGACAATTGAAACCAAAGCTGCCTTTGGAAGAACCAGTAATTCTACTCCTTACACATCTCCCCCCCGCTCCCCCACCTCCTCCAGGGCCCCTGGTTACTGTGGACACCAGGCCCTAATGCCAGTGCAGGCTGCTCTCCCATCACAGTCCCATTACTCACTGTGATTGCCCTCAGCAGAGCAGCTGGTTTGGGTGGGAAGGACTGGGGGAGGGGAGAGGAGGGGAGGGGAGGGGAGAAAGCAAGGCCATTTAAGGTCTGGGCGATGCCTGCAGGGCCCCAACCTTCCTGCCAGGCAACACCACTGCAGTCTCCTAGATCCTGCCTCCAAGACAAAGCCAAGGGTGGATTTGTTTTTTACCTTTAAGTCCCCACAGCTGATCCCAGGGACCATCAGCTCACACTTCCTCCAGATGTGCACACCACTGGGTAATGTTTATCCCCTTCCCATGTTCAGACCCCAGGTTCACTCCCTCAGCTCTGCCCCCTTCCTGCTCCAATGCCACTGGACCTCGCTGGACTCACCCATGAACTTGGCATATGGCGTGTAGAGAGCTTGTAGTCCAGCCGGATCCAGGACCACCCCAGGCCCCTGATGGACCCCACAGCCGGGAAAGCCTGAATGAGTCTGTGCCGTCCTCCCTGCAGCCTCTGATCTTTCCGTCAATACTCACAGCCCACACCCTCAGGGACCTTCAGATGCAAGTCACCCCCGTCCTCTCTGCCCTGCACTTGCCATGTCCTCAGAAGCCACAACACTCCTCTCTCCCCTCCACCTTCCTCACGGTCCTCCACGCGGGACTGAGCTGCAGGACGGGACAGGCGCCCTCCCCATGTGCTAGGGGGAGGGACTGGGCCATGGAAGAGTTACAGAATGTGACAGAATGTGCTAAGGGGAGGAAATGAGACATGAGAAATTGAATGTGCTGGGAGGGGGGACTGACGTATGGAGAGGGATTGTGGCAGGATATGGAGAAGGATTGTATTAGGGTTAGGAACCATGGAAGAAAAATTGCCAGATTGTCTTAGACCAGTCAGGTGTGACTCTGTTTACCCCCCCCCCCTTTGTGCTTATGAACTTTCTGTGAGCTTCTAAGGTAACACTGTTTTGCTATAAAAATCATAATGCACACTTGCTCTTGGCCACATACCGCGAGGCTTCCCAGAGGGGGAAGTACGGGCTGTGGTCAGCTGGCCAGCTTAATAAAAAGGCTTTCAAATTTAAATTCTGAGTCGGTGGTCTATCTCGTTGAGCCAACCCATAACACCCAGGCTGTGGTGTCCGTGTGAGGAGGTGGTGAGGGCCTGGGGGACTCAAACTCACCTCAGCCCGTCTCCTCCGCATGGGCGCCGCCATTGCGCTCTGTGGGCTGAGCGGGGCGGGAGTAGAAGCCGCAGCAGGAATGGCGGTCCCTGGCCCGCACCTGGCGTGAGTTCCTGTGGCGACTCCGAGCGTCAATCCCACGTGGGAGCTGTGAGCACCACTGGCAGCTCCCACCATTGGCTGTGAGGCGGGGAGCACCACTCTCCAGCCTTCTCCACAGGACTGCGGACACGGAAAACCTCACCGCCTGAGACAAAATTCGGAGAAGACGAAATCCCGCCACAAGGATTACGGGTCCCGCCCTACAGAATCGGCCAAATAATAATGACTTCTCTGACCCTCTATTGGCTCTGCCTGATGCCACTCCATGCGTGGCCTTCTGGGTAATGTAGTTTCTCAGCTCCAAGGCCGGGATCCAGTATTTCTCAGTTGACTCTAGGACTGGATTTAGGGGCAAATAGCCCAAGAACACACCAAGTACACTAGGGCCCTCTAGCGCCTTCAGGGGAGGTGATTTCAGAGGCAAGTTTGTTTCTCCTGCACCTGTACAGCTTCCTTTAGCTGCGGTTTTGCATATATTTGTTCAGGACTTGCTGTTTCTGAAGGGCAGGCATTGTTTCTTCATTCAAGACTTTTGGCATGTGTTTCCCTCAGGCCATATGTATCTGGAGGAGGTTTTTCAAGTCTCTAACAGCCTTTACCTGCCTCCATTGAATCCATTATACAAAGTTAAGGTCACAAAACAGACGCTCATACTTAAGGGCATCAACTTCTGAAACCATCCAAAGTGTCAGCACTGTCTGGGCTGCAGTGTGGATAAGATGGACAAGAAACATATGAAAAGATGCTTCAAGTCACAGATCACCAGAGAGATGGAGATTAAAGCAACAATTAGGTATCACCTCACCACTGTCACAGTGGCTGCCATCAACAAATCAATAAATGACAAGTGCTGGGGACAATGTGGAAAAGAGGGACCCTAGTACACTGCTGGTGGGAATGCAAACTGGTGCAGCCATATGAAAAACAGTATGTCCTTTCCTCAAAAAACTTAATATGGCCAGAACCGGTTTGGCTCAGTGGATAAAGTGTCGGCCTGCAGACTCAAGGGTCCCAGGTTTGATTCCGTTCAAGGGCATGTACCTTGGTTGCGGCACATCCCCAGTGGGGGGCGTGCAGGAGGCAGCTGATCGATGTTTCTGGCTCTCTATGATTCTCCTTTCCTCTCTGTAAAAAATCAATAAAATATATTTTTTAAAAAAATTTAGTATGGCCCTAACCGGTTTAGCTCACTGGATAGAGCATCAGCCTGCGGACTCAAGGGTCCCAGGTTCGATTCCGGTCAAGGGGTATATACCTTCTTGTGCGCACATAATGTTGTGGACCAACATTCTCGAGAATAAGACCATTGACTCCAATTAGGTCTTAAACAGCAAGTGAGGATTTATTGAGCTGGCCAGCGACTAAAGTTACAGCACCCTGCCGAAGCAGAGGCTGAACTACAGTGCCTACTACAGGAGTTACATTTTATTATTAAATTCTGTGGAGGCCCAGAGAAAAATGTGTCTTTCAAATTCTGGGCCCCCAATATGGAGGAAACTCTCTTTATTTATACCTTTTCCAATCCTTTGTGTCCCAAATTTGGAATGAGACTTCGGGCCTTCTGAGAGAGAAGGCCTGCGTGCTGGGAAGGGGCCATGAGACCATATCTCAAGACCTGGCCTGATGTCAGTACCTTCCTATCTATGTGTTCTAGGACAGCGTGCCCCGCCTGGCCGAAGCACCAGATATGCAGCCCAACACATTCCCCACTGGTTTTATGGACATGAGTCAAATCACTGACTCTTTTGGGTCATTGTTGGGGAGGAAGTTATATTGACCCCTTAGGACTATAAGCTTGATAGAATTAATTCTTTGCCGAATAAAGTCAGTGGGCCTGTTTATAAGATAAGGGCCTGGAATGAGGGTCAGGAGTAATCTCTAGAGGGTCCAAAGAGTCCTGGACTCTACTTTTCCTGGGTTGTCTTAAGCTGGGTGTGATGAAGCCACATCAGGATCCCATCGACCTTGACTGCTGTGGGAGTGGTCCTTTCCAGGTAGGAGTCAGTCCTTGGGTGGCAAATTTCTTTACCCAAACAGAGTCACCCGGTTGGAAGGGATGAACCGGATACAGGCAGATCATCTTGGACGTGCTTCTTATCTGCTTTCTGGGTAGACTGTAAAGCCTGAAAGAACTTGAGTAAAGATTAGTTATGTATTTCAGCTTTTCTAGATTGGGTTTCTATGTAAGCTGGTGAGATGGGTAGGTCAGGGTCTGGAAGAGTCATGAGAATCTGTAGAGGCCCCACTGGTTTTAGGGCAGCCTCCCGGGATGCTTTGTCTGCAGCCGAATTCCCTCTTGTTTCTGGGGAGTCCCCTTGTACATAGAGGTGGAAAGACGTAGTTACATCTGGCAGTGCCAATTGGCCCATCGTCCTTGCTCTGCTCATGTCTGTCTAACTGCCTACTATATTACCTCGAGGATCCTGGCTCTGAATTCTTTCAGGGAAAATGGACGTTGAATTTTTTCTGTAACTGCTTCGTGCTGAGGAGAGTCAGAAGTTTCTCTCAGAGCCAAGAGATCCTTGCTATCTGTCAGAGGGACGATGAGGCCTGGTCACAGAAGGAGGTGGGCTTGTGACGTGGCGGAAACAAACTGTAGCAAATGGACTGGTGGGAGGGAAAGAAAACATTTCAGTTTTAATAACCTCCATTGAAATAGAGTTTTCTCCTTAAAATTATCCCTCTGTTTATTAAAATACTAATTTATTTACTGTATTCAGTTTGGCCTGATTGTTTGCATAAACACAACAAGAATGGTAACTGACTACCTTTGCTGGAATTTCATGATTGAATCTTTTTCTTTTTAATTTTTTTTAAAATATATTTTATTGATTTTTTTTTCCAGAGAGGAAGGGAGAGAGATAGAAAGCCAGAAACATCGATGAGAGAGAAACATCGATCAGCCGCCTCCTGCACATCTCCTACTGGGGATGTGCCCACAACCCAGGTACATGCCCTTGACCGGAATCGAACCTGGGACCTTTCAGTCCGCAGGCCGACGCTCTATCCACTGAGCCAAACCGGTTTTGGCTCATGATTGAATCTTAATGTGCCCCATAGGGCCAGGAAGCCAAGCCATCCTGCTGCCATCAGGCCTGCCTGCAGTATCTGCTGAGTTAGGTGAATTCCTCACCTACAGTGGCTCTGCCTGGGCCCATTGTCCTTGCTTTAAGGCCCTCTCAGCAGCCCTCCTACTCATCGCGGCCCAGAATGCATGGGGGTTCCATACTCCCCTTCTACTCTGACCAACTGCCAGTGATGGTAGGGCATGGGCCTGATGCTCCAGCGCCAGCTATTTTTAGGGCTCCCAAGCAGGATACCAGGCTTTCTCTATGGCACTCTTATTGGCTTCAAGTCTTCAGATGGCGGATCCAGAAAACCAGAGACCCGTTAAAGGTCAGACTCACTTCGTGTTCCTCCTGACTCTCATCGTCTGCCTGCAGCCGTGACTGGGAAATCCCCATCTGGCCAAAAATTACCCT